CCCCCCAAAACTGGGATTTTCCCCCCAAAAGCCGGGATTTCCAACCCCAAAACTGGGATTTACTCCCAAAAACCCGGGATTTCACCCCTAAAAACCGGGATTTCACCCCTAAAACCGGAATTTTCCCCCAAAAACCGGGATTTCACCCCTAAAAGCCGGGATTTACTCCCAAAAAGCCGGCATTTCACCCCCAAAACTGGGATTTCACCCCCAAAAACCGGGATTTCCCCCCGTAAAATGGGATTTTCTCCCCCAAAAACCGGGATTTCACCCCAAAAGCCCGGATTTTCCCCCCCAAAACCGAGATTTCCCCCTAAAACCGGAATTTTCCCCTCAAAACCGGGATTTTCCCCCCCAAACTCACGCTTGTTGCGGTAGAAGTTGCCGGAGATGTTGATGCCCTCACAGCGAACCACGACCACGCGGCGGCCTGGGGGGAACAGCGGGGCCGGGCCGGCTCAGCACCGAACCGAACCGAACCGAGCCGAACGGAACCGAACCGAACGGAACCGAACCGATCGGAACCGATCGGAACCGAACCGAACCGAGCCGAACCGAACCCGGTTCCCAACCGAGGCCCGAACCCCCCCCCGCGCTCAGCTGGTAGTGCATGGAGGCGGCTCTCATTGTCGTTAAACTCGAGAGCCAAAAAGGGCTCATCACGGCGCGGGGGGCCCGGTTATCCCGGTGTGTTATCCCGGTGTGTTTTCCCGGTGTTTTCCCGGTGTGTTATCCCGGTGGATCCCGGGGAAAGGATCCCGCACTCACCCAGCAGCACCTGCTTGGCCACGATCGCCGCCAGCCGGCCCAGGAGGTGCCCACGGCCATCGATCACCAGAACCTGCGGGCACCGGGAGCACCGGGTGAGGCCAGGCCGCGCCTGAGCCTTTACCGGGTTTAGGCCGCACCGCGCGGGCCTCCACGTGGCCGCGCCCCGCGCTCCTCCCGCCGCCCGCCCGCGGTTCCCCGCGGCCCCTTTATTGCTCAGCCCCTTCCCAGACCCCCTCCGGAGCCCACCCGGGACCCTCGAGTGCCCCCCAAAGCCCCCCTGGGCCGGCCCGCTCCGCACCCGCGGCTCCGCCATGGCCGCCGCCCGCTCGCAAAGAGGCCCCGCCCCTCGAGCGCCCCGGGGTCGCCGCTTCCGGCGGCGGGGCCACGGCAGGGGCGGAAGTGACGTCATCCACCAAGAAGCGCCATTGAGGGCGGAAGTGGAGGAAAAACCCCCAGAGTCCCGTCCAGCGTCCCCCCAGTACGTGCAGGACCCACTCCCAGACCTCCCAGTGCCCCCCAGTACAGCACTCCACGCTTTCGAGCAGCCGCTCCTTGTATTTATATATGTACAGCGGAGGGGGGGGCCCGGCTCTCGGGGGTCTTGGGGGGCACGCGAAGAGGGCGGGGGCTCCCCGGTGGGTCCCTGGGGGTCTTGGGGGGGAGGGGGTCCCTTGATGGGGAGGGGGGAGGGTGTGTGTGGTTATTTGGAGCACATCCCAGCGGGTGTCCAGCGTCACCCATGGGGGGTCCCGGGGGCCGGGGTGGTGCCGGTGGCCCCGTAACTCGCGGGGGGACCTCCCGGGGGTCCCCCCCCGCCGGCTCCGCCTGCTCCTCCTTCCTCCCCTTCCTCCTCCTCCTCCTCGTCGTCGCTGCCCAGGCCTCCCGGCGCCAGCGGCTCCGCCTCCTCCCGTGGCGGCTCCGCCCACGGCTGCGGCTCCCCGGAGGCGAAGGCGCCATAGAAGGCCACGCCCGCGTAGTGCACGAGCGCGGCGATCAGGAACACCCACTGCCACTCCTCGCGCGTCTGCGCCAATCAGCGCCCGCCGCCCGCCCCGCGCCGGCCAATCAGCGCCGCCGGGGGGCGTGGCCGAGAGGGCATGAATGGGAAAGGAGAGCGCGGGGAAACGAGGGGGCGTGGCCAAGGGAAGGGCGTGAAAATAAGGTGGGGAAGAAGGCGGGGCCAAAGCGAGTGGGCGGGGCCAGGCAGACAGTGAGTGACAGGGGTCAGCGCGACCCCCAAAATTCGGGTGTCCCCCCGCCCCGGGTCCCTCTGTGTCCCTCTGTCCCCCTCCCGCGGTCTCACTGTCCCCTCTGTGTCCCTCTGTCCCCTCTATGTCCCTCTGTCCCCCCCCCGGGTCCCTCTGTCCCCTCTATGTCCCTCTGTCCATCTGCGGGGTCCCACTGTCCCCTCTATGTCCTTCTGTCCCCCCCTCCGTGTCCCTCTGTCCCCTCTATGTCGCTCTGTCCCCTCCATGTCCCTCTGCCCCCTCTATGTCCCTCTGTCCCCCCT